TGTTTGTTATTTTACGAATTCGAGTGCAGATTGTAACTCAGGAACTGATGAAATCCAAGGCAAGAATTCCAGCTGCCAGCTGAACAACCATACACTTGTTAACCAGGCTTTTGCTGTTTCTGTGGGAAGGATCTTAGACGGTTATAGCTCTGCACTCAATACTTTGCTTTCATCTGTGAACTTAAGACGCAGCTCTACTGCTGCTGATGGAGGCTGCCTTACAAATGTTGGTCATTCTGAGATCACGATTTTGGAGGTTTATCTGCACACCACGGGCTTAAGAGTGCAAGTGGAAGCACTTGGAAATATCTGCCACCTGGGTGACCTAGCCCTTTGTTTTCCAGAATCGCCTTTGAAAGACATAATTGCTAAAGCTGACCAAGAATTTCATAATTTTCCAAGAAGTGGAGCACTGATAACATTATTATATTCACAGCTTAAGGTTAGAATTGTGCAGAAGTTCAATTTATCTGTCATAGTATGAACAAGTGTGTTTACAGAATAAATGAGAAACCGCTTGTCATCACTCTGTCCCATGAAAAGAGTTCTTATTCACTAAGGTACAATTTTTCTAGTAAAGTACAACTAAAAATTATCAATCATAGCTATTTTTTAAAGTAAAGATGTTGGTTTAAGTAAATTACACATAATTAACTTGTTTGACATGCTTGTTTTAGTAAAACACATTGGATATAATTAAAATAGTTTTTCGTTCAAATTAGACACTTTTTTGGTACACAACTAGGTCAACTACACTACTTTATTTTTGGGATGGAGGGAGTACTTTGTAACCTTTGTGTTCAAAATGGAATAGTGTCTATGACCTACTTTAATGGTTATCATTCTATATAAAACAAAACATACTCAATATATCCCACTTGAGATTATGATCTTTGGGGGGGGGGGCGGTAGATGTACGCATACCTTACATCTACTCCAAGGAGTACACAACATGTTTTTGACAGAATCCCCAACAATGACACATAGTGTGAGATGTGAAGTAAAATAACTACCAAGCAAGACCGAAAAGCAAATAGTTAGACCAGTCTAAACCCCAATAACTCTCGTACACCGCCCCAACAAGGTCTGAGTTATGAATTCCTTGTACAGGTGTGTGCCTTCTCCAAGTCCTTTATAACTAAGGGCTATGTTGCACGGAAACTCCATATAGGCTGCCGTACCCGTTTCGGACACCTTGGACACGCCGACACGCCACGGACACGCCTGGAGACGTCTCGGAAACTCCACGTGGCGTTTCTGTAATTTTAATTTTTAAAAAAGAGAAAAAAACGCCAAGGAAACGGCTGGTCTCTTTCGGGAAACGGCAGGGACACCTCTTTTGAAAAAAATGGGGTTGTTTTTATAAATTTTAAAAGTTTTGGAACTGACTCAAATTATAAAAAGTATTATCTGGCCCTAAATCTTCATCGCTCCTCTATGTTACGCGGCTATCATATTCATCGACAATAGACAACGGCCCTCGAAGAAGCTTTACGCAGCTGGTTGGCCAACTACTCGCCGACGAAGGGCGCAACATCAGGTGAAGTGTTCTCTCCAAATAAGCTTCTCACCGACAAAGGGAGAAGCTTACGCCGCTGGTCAGTGACTTCTGGATTTTATGTTATGTATTTTGAACTTATTTATGCTTTAATATGTTTTGTAATGACTAAATTATGCTATCTCTTTTGAACTTATACTTTAATATGTTTTGTAATGACTAAATTATGATATATCTTGTGAATTTATACTTTAATATGTTTTGTAATGACTAAAATATGTTATGTATTGTGAATTTGTTTACATAATTTTATTTATATATATATATATATATATAATTTATATATATAAATTTGGCGTTTCCCCGGCGTTTCGTCTCTTCATTTTTTCAAAATAGCCGTTTCGGCGTGTCCGTTTCGTTTTGTCTCCGTCCCCGTTTCCGTTTTAGACCCTTAGTCTAAGGGTCTAAAAAATTTATAGCTTTTTATAATAGTTTCTTCTACTATGCGTACGAACACAAATGATAGATAGTAAGAAAATTTTATCTAATGAAATAACTCTACAATTGGTATAATCAAGCACACATGACACATCAAATTTGTCCCACTGGATTTTTTTACATATGCAGGGATAGATTGTGTAGATGACGTGTTATCAAAACAATCTGGCTGTAGCTAACACTTAGCAAAGGAGGGTTAAGGGTTGACCAAAAAGTAAATCTATTGCTACTTTGACCAAAATTTCAAATTTATACTATGTTTTATTCAGAGATAATTTACTGGTTTTGAACCATGCATCATACGATTTTTGAAAAAACAGAATAAACAATAAATCTCATACATCATAGGGTATAAATGCTAGTTTTTGTTATCGCAATAACTTAACTTGACAAGTTGATGCTATACTCTCCTAGATGCAACCAGACAAACTATTTATTTTGTGTGGCGGGAATGGAGGGGACGGGCAGGGGGATTTTAATGATAGCCAAGATTCTTTCTGTTATAATTTCATTATTTGGGCCTGCCACTTGATATTCTACTAATGTAAACTGTATTTAGGCCACAGATCCTGTTCATTGTGCTCTCCTCAAGTTCCTATTTATCCGGTCTTGGGAACCATATTGTGGATTCATTAGATCATGGATTTATGAAGGCAAGATCAATGATCCTTTTGAAGAGTTTGTAGTGGAACTTTTTGATGATCTACCTGATCATGCTCTTGGAACATCTAATGGCTTCTCATTAGCTAGAGTCAAGGTAACACTATCACATGTTTTATAGAAGATTCATAGGGTGCTTTGCACTTTTCACTGTTACCATATTTTTTCTTTCTTGAGAACCAGTCCTTTGATCATTAATGTAATATCTTAGGTACGAGATGGAGCTGTTGTTCCTTTCTTCTTAGAGGATTTCCTGATTCCACTCTTCAGAGCAGGCCAACAACTTCAAGTGATTGTGAAGTTGCTTGAGTTGTCTAATAATATTGGTGCAATGAATTCTTCTTACAAAGAGTTTCTCCCTGGTTGTAATGGGATTTGCAGTGAATATCATAGACTTTCTTCGTCACTGACATTTGACAAAGGAACAATAGAAGCAATCACGCTGGCTAGAAGCACTTTTTACCTTCAGAAACTTGAAGAAATTGATAATATATTTTCCAAGTTTGAATTTAGGCATCAAGGGGTAATTGCTATCTATCAGTCTATCACTGAGAAGCATGACGTTTTTTTTTAGCTTTTATGCATAAATTATTAAGATGTGCTGACACACAATGATTGTACGCTCAATAACATCGGTGCAACTTATCTAAATGAATCTATATCTCTAACCTTTTAGTGTTTTATGATCTAGGGTATACTGAGAGAGACAAAAACGTAATGTGAAAATTTTGATAGAATATTACGAAGTACATCTTAATGTATTGCAATTCCATTGACTACTTATTAGAGAAAAGGAAACTTAATCCATTGACGATTTTCTCCCCTTTTCCATATTCACATATTGCGCACAACAACAACATAGGAAACTCCCACCAAGTGGGAACTCGGGAGATTGGGTGTACGTAGACCTTACCCCTACCCAGAAAGTAGAAATGTTGTTTCCAAGATACCCCCAACTCAAAGCACTCAGAAAGAATAAGTCTACAAGTATTCACATTTTGCATGCACTAAACTAAAAATCAGTTATCTTTTCACTCTTTCTTTAGATAGCCTGTAGGTTGAAGATTTGGATGGTAGGGTAGCCTTTAGGAGTGGTCTAGCCTTGTGTGGGACTTGCTGCTTTTGTTTGTTGTATCTAGGTGTCTGCTTACTTCTTCGTGTTCCTCTCTTTCTTTTTCCTGTTCTATTTTCCTTTACTTGTTTTTATTTCTTCTTCCTTTGTTCTTTTATGTATTGAGCCGGAAGTCTCTTGGAAACACCCTTTTCACCCACTAGGTAAGGGTAAGGTCTGTGTACGCTCACCCTCCCCAGACCTCACTTTGTGGGATTTTATTGGGTTGTTGTTGTATCTTTCCACCCTTGAGTATTGTGTTTTACAGTTCTGTTTACATACTTCTTATCTTCTTTTCTTTGTTCAATAGAGAGACAATTTGTTGAATTACTTTATTGGTAATCTGTATAACATTCTTTGCTACTTGTATTGATAGGGTAAATTGTCTGTTCCTCAGCAAGTTAAAAATTAGCAATTGTTTTGAGGATGCCAACATTATACAAATGCATAATGACTGCGATCTGTATTTCTATTTCTGGATGCCTGTATGTTTGTAGAATTAGATTGTTGGTACTGAATACCGCCTTTGACTATATTCTTTATATGTCCTCCCAGTCCACCACTATTACAAAAAAACCTTGAAATTGAGTCATTAAGGATTAATGTAGTCACCTCAGGTTTTGCCTTGTGGAGTTCAAGCTATACACGCAGACTGTGGAAGGAGGATCAAGTGTTCTGACCTATTTTCACCAGATGATAACTTGATTATATCTCCAACTGAAAAACAAAATCAGGAACTGTGAGTTGCTACTTTGTGAGTATTTTTACTTTTTACTTTTGGATGCACCTCCTTCTCGCTTCTGGACCATGAGGATCTGTTGTATCTTCCCTGTACAGTTGTCATGTTTTTATCTAGCAGTTTGTCTCTGCGTATTCTATGCATGCATTTATATTCATTTGACATTCAATCTGTTAGAGTGCATCCCACATCGGAAGTTCAAGAGTAAAAATAACCGGTATATAAGCTCTTGAGTTGGACTAACTAATCGATTGGATTCAATCTTTTAATGTGGTTCAACCCAAGTGTCTTATTGCCCAATCTAGAAGTTTATACCCCATCCTAAATTTTATCATGGTATCAGAGCCAGTTTTAGCCCACCTCGTTTGTCAAAGTGTCCGTCTAGACGTTCATTCCTAGCGGCCCATTAGTCTTTAGCCCAGTTGTTCGTATGGAGATTGTACCCAACGGCCTGTGGCCTGTTTAACACGATTGCTCGTCTAAAAGTCCATACCCAGCGGCTCGTGGTCCTTTAGGTGTTGGCGCTCAAAAAAAAGTCAAGGGAATGGGAGTTCATTTGCAAGTGGTCAACCGGTTAGATTCAAAATGGCCCGGTTGTCCACTTGAGGGGGAGTGTTAGAGTGCATCCCACATCGGAAGTTCAAGAGTAAAAATAACCGGTATATAAGCTCTTGAGTTGGACTAACTAATCGATTGGATTCAATCTTTTAATGTGGTTCAACCCAAGTGTCTTATTGCCCAATCCAGTTGTCCATACCCATCCTAAAAAATTCTATCACAATCAATGTCTCTAATGAGCTTTCAAAAGGTGACCACTGAATGAACATTTTGGACTTTGCATGCCTGAATACTTGTCACTCTGCGATACCCTATTAGGCTATTACCTATATGTCCGTCCTATTGGTGTAGGACAAGGCTATGAGAATTAATGCAAATAAAGGATTTTTATGATTTATGAATGTTCTAATCCCCATTTGGGATGTGACATTAGGCTCATTTTCAGTTGAGGTTGTGGACTTGTAGGTCTTGACATTTATGCATGGTAGCTTGGCTTGTCACAATCTTGAGTCACTCTTAAGTCTCTTTTGCATTTTGAATTATTTCACTACTATCAACTCATTTGCATATGTGCTTCTTAGGCCTGATGGGGTTTCCGAAGCTTCTAGTGCAGAGGATGAGCTTTCCTATGCTCAAGATGTCATCGATGCACTTGCAGCTTCATCTTCTGAAGATTCTGAAGAGCAATCCGAGTACGAGGGTTTGACTTGTATACCTTTTACTGATAAGCAACTGGAGTCTACTTATTTTTCTGCTTTGACTTTCATTACAAACCATTCCTTGCAAAAGCTGCCCCAAGATGAAATTTCATGCAATCCAAAATCTGTTCTGGGTGAAAAGTGTGTCAGAAATGATAATTCTGAGCACGCTGCTGGTATTTGTTACGATGGAAAGGTCGCGAGAGAGCATGCTTTGGCCCCTTACATTGGAGAACAAAGTTTGTTACTTGCTTGTGATACACAAGGTGCAGAAATGGGATGCCCACTGTCTGATCACATTCTTGAAAATCCTTCTAATGCTGATAGAAGGAACAATGAAAATTTTTCATTGCTTTCAATGGATCAAAAAATGAAGGTATTTGATGATAGTCAGTTAACAGAAATGCTGGATTATGAAGTACAGAAGGCTGATAGCAAGCACCAGTACCATAGTTGTTCCTTTAGAATTTCAAGTAGTTTTTCAGCATGGAAACTTAAATACACTCCTAATTTTTTCAATTTGAAACCAACTTTGACCAAAAGCTCTCTTGTAAAGCATGGAGAAAAATGGCACCAAAGAAAACCTTCATCATGTTTTGACTTTACACATGTAAGAGATCCTTGCAAGTTATACATGGAAATGTTGGACTATAGAACAACAAAGCAGTTTGGAGCTGAAAGGTCTGTTTTGAAGAATAATACTGGTGCTCCTGCCATTTCTTCAAGCGATGTGCATGATCAAGAAAGCCAGGATCTTGAAAACTCAGAGAAAAAGGGGATGCTTTCTTATGCTTTGTCTGTATGTTCTGGAACTTGTTCTCCACAACTCTCATCACTTTCATATACTAATGGTGGGAGTGGCTGGGCCAGTCTCCTTCGTGGCTGTGATAAAACAATGGATACAGCTGCCAGTTATAATGGGCCTAGTCTGGTGACAGTTAATGAGATACCATTAGATTATATTATCAAGAAGTGCTTATTGGAAGAGATCCTGCTTCAGTATCCTTGTTTATTTTATGCTCACAGTTTCATACCAGCAATGTTTTTAGTGTAATTATGCATTTATGCCTTCATTTTATTTGATAGTTCACTTTTTTTTCCTATTAAATGATGTTAATTTATCTTAGTGCTACTTGTTTCTTCACATTTCTCCAACTATATAGTTTAATGCCTAAGTTAGTTTTAAGACTACTAAGAAGGAAGCTAAGTTAGCATTTACGGTGTCAAAGATTACTGCCTTGGAGAGTTGGAGCAGCTATTCAAGGATTTATAGGAGAAAGGAGAATAGAAGAGTCTATATTGGCTATCAAAGCAAGATCAGAAGGCACATGATCTAGACTCTCGAGTGCAGATTGCAGAAGGGGACAGGAGTATTGTGATGGGTGATTTAGTGTGCTTCGAGAGTCGTCCAGATCTTTACTATTATAGGTGTAAACTTAAGTAGAAGAGGTGGATGAGGTTATTTGCTGGATGAGGAGGAGAGCAACTTAGCCTGATGAGATCCAGTAGCCTTTTTGAAGGATGGTGGTAGAGAAGGGTGTGTGGACAAATGAGTTGTTTGTGGTCATTTTAAGACAACTAAGATGTCATAGGAGTGGAGGTGGACTATGATTTCATTTCACAATAAGGGAAGTATTCGAAATGCATCAACTTACCCAGCCATACTATGAATGGGAACGGAATAGTTGAGAGAAAGATGAGGAAGAGGTGACTACTTTTGCATACCAAATTGGATTCTTGTCAGAGTGATTTGCTACAGAAACTATTCCTTTCTGAAGAGATTCATTGAGTAGTTCATCTCAATAAGGTGTTTATCGACATAGAGAAGACTTAACAAAGTCTTTGGGGATTGATGGGGTCTTATGGTGATGCTTAGAGTACGTAGGTGTGCTTGTAACATATTCTAGAGCAGTTAAAGACATGATGTATGATGGAGGCAAGACTAGAGTAACGATGGTGGGAGGAGACACAGGTCTTGGTTGAGATGGGGGTTGCATTAGGGGTATGCTCTTAGTCCCTTTTTGTTCATCTTAATGCATGCTATTTGCTGACGATATTGCATTAACTGATGAAACATGTAGAAATTGAGAGTAGCAGAGATGAGAACACTTTGATGTGCGGCCATAGTATGAGGGATAAGAATAGAAATAACTAATGAGGATATACGAGACAAGCTCGGAGTTCCGTGGAGGATTAGATGCATGAATAACATTTATGGTGGTTTGAGTACGTGCAAAGGAACACCAGTACCCTTGCGAGGTGTGAGGTTAGCAGGGAGGAGTTTGAGGAGAGGTATGCATGGACCAAAGAAGAGTTTTTTTTTTTGGGGGGGGGGGATATTCAACATGATATGTTGTTTTTGCAGCTCACCGAGAGCATGATTCTAGATAGGGCAGTCGGAGGTTGAAGATTAAAGTTATAGGGTAATTTGACTTGGGCCTCGTGGTTTATGGGAGAGTTAGATGTAGTGGGTTGTCTGTGAACAGGTTGGTATTATTTTTTTGTTGCTGTTTTTCCATCCTCTCTTTATTTGTAGTTTTTTTTAACCTGTAATCATCGTTTAATATCTACTCCCTTTGTCCCAAAAATGTCTTGATAGTTGGGATTATGATGCTTGACTGAAACTATTAATAATTCAATTCATTTAAAATCAGTGTAGAACAAAATAATAAAATTTATATATTTAAAAACTACGTGAAAAGATCTATAAAACAAGAGGTGACATGATTATATTATTTTTTGAAATGACCCATGAAAAATAGGTATAGAATATTTTTAAGCTGACCAAGTGTAAAGATTTATTTGGGACGGAGGGAGTAATTGTTTTAACATGTTGTTATGTTTTTTAGAGAGTCTTCACAAAACGTCCTTTTTACATCTATAGGTAGGGGTAAGGTCGACATGCACCCACCCTCCCAAGATACCACCACTCGTGGAACCTTAGTGTGCTGCTGCATAAGCAGCTAAGCACTTTTCTCTTTGTATTTTACCATCTTTAGTCTCCCCCCCCCCCTCCCCCTCCCAATTATGTTTTCTTCATCTGGAGTTTTTTAAAATGTATTTAGCAAGTGCTGAGACTCAGTTTTAACTAGAAACTTTGCTGCTGACAAGTTTGATGGAGAACATCAACTTACAAAGTTTATCATATTGATTAGGTCATAGGTGTTTATATTTGTGTGTGTGAGTGTGTCTATCTCTTAACGCCAATATTTGTATACAGTGGCCTTTATCGTATATGTGGATTATCTGTTGGCTTTTACTCTCTATAATATACATTTGAAACTGGATTTCCATTTTGAGCTCCATTATTTTACCATATTGGGATTATTTAGAGTACAATTGTGTGATTACTTTGCTTAGTCATAGCATTCTAGGGAAAAGAACGTATCAACATTCAGTGTGATCTTAACTTTCACTTTTTCTGCTTGTTCGGTAATAAATCTTAAAGTTTTGATTCCTTGATGTCAGTAGATATAAGTATCTAAGCAAGTTGACCATAAAGTTATTTGAGAAAGGATTTGATTTGCATGAGCATTTGTTGGCTCTAAAGAGGTACCATTTTATGGAAGTAGCTGACTGGGCAGAATTGTTCATAACATCTCTTTTGCATCATGTATGTTGTTATTTCATCCTATCTCATTTCTGCAATATCTTCTACTTTCTCGTTTCCTTATTGCATCTCTTCTAATGCATTTTTCTCTGGTTGTCTCTCTCACACCAGAAATGTTATGTCTTTGAGGCGGAAAAAAGAATATTAGAAATTCAAGGTCTTCTTGAGTTGTCAATTCAGAGATCTTCATGTGAAGCAGACCTGAATAGAGATCGAGTATATGTGTATATGAAAGATGCTATAACTAATCCAGCTTTGGCTACGGGCTCATTTCATGGTACAATGCATTTTCAAATACTTTCTACGTGACCAATAACTCTTTTCAGAGTATCTGCAATGGTCTTCTTTATGTTGGGTTCGTGCCCTGTCCACTCTTTTTGTAACCTGTATTGTATGTGACAGGGATCCACTCCTTTGACTTCCTTGGCTTGGGTTACCGAGTAGAATGGCCAATCAGTATCATTTTAACCCCTGACACATTGAAAATATATTCAGACATCTTCAGTTTTCTGGTACAATTAAAGCTTGCACTTATCTCTCTAAGTGATGTATGGAGCCTACTAAAGGTAAGGACTTTCAAATAACTTGGACCAACAATACTTTTTTCCCTCTGTTTATGGTTGAGCTGCATCGTGCTTATGCATTTGATGCTAGAAATAAACTCATTAAGTTTGGGGTTCTTGGAGTTTGATTTGGTCAACCAAATTACTGAGTTGCATGAGTGTGGGCATATCTGTTGTGCTTGGTACTGTGCAAACTTCTTATCAAGTACATGGCACGAATTGGCACATGCATAGTTTAGTATTTATGATTATGTTTAATCTATTATTTGCAAGACATCCTTTTACCAGCCTTGCTTGCTCTGTCTGACTTTTGGTTAAAGGAATTGTTATTCTTGCACATCTTTGGTGAAGTCTTTTTTTTCTCGGGTTGCTAGAATCATACTCAGTTGAGCAAAGTGAATTGTCATTTTGAGGCACAAGATATGAAGTTGGATCAGATATCTATCTTAACTAAAACCAGGTATTTCAGAAATCATTTCCATTGAATGTTGGAAACAATTATTGCTTGTGTAATCTATAATTGCATACATAAAGCTGTATTCTTAATTGCTCTACTAGTTTTGTTATGTTCCCTTTGATGACTCGTACCCTTAATTATTCTTTCTAGGAAGTTCTAATTTTGCAATAATATACTCTACACATGGAATTCTTTCCTGAATGTCCATTGCCAATGGAGCTAAAAGAGTCGTAAATGACAATGCTTTAGTTTCTAATTAATAATGGACTGAATCAAAATTACACATTAAACTTCTTTTGCTCTTTGCTTTTTATCAAAGTTTTGGGTAGTAAATGCAACAATGCAATTAGAGTCTAATGGTAACAGTCTCTCTGCATGCATATTACATATTGATATTACAGGGGTAAGGCTACATACATCTTGACCCCTAGACCCCATAGGACATGAGATCTTATTGGGATGTTGTATATAATTCTATTCTGATTTGAGGTATCAATATATGTGTGTATATTGAGAATTGGGCTATTTTGAGACATACGGAGTTAAAAGGATTTTTTTGTGGTCCCCTTTGGCCTCTGTCCTAGTGTCCTCCAATGACCACTTTGATCTTGATCATGGTGCTTGTGCGAAAGGCACACTTGTTTTCCGTCCATCTCAAAATAAACTTAACACTTTCATTGTTTTGTTGTAAGGAAAGGAACATGTGGCTTGCTCATTTCTCTTTGTTCTAAACAAATTATAACCGTATACTTTTCACTTTTCAACACTTCCCTTAAACTCCGTGAGGCAAGGTTATTAATCTCGTACTGAACCTGCTGAAATATACAGACTAAGCGCTTTCCGGTATGGTGAAAAGTCTGGTTTTGTACTCGGCATGTACTGGCCCATACCGGCCAAATTTGGCTGACAAATACCTATCTTTAACAAGTTTCAAACTCACACCTCTCCCATTCAATACGGTGGAGTTTAGCAGTTCATCGATTTTATTGATTATAGTATATTAGATATTTATATTTTAATTTAAAAATTATATATTTTGCTATAATTTGTCTAAGTATTTTATGTTTTGAAAAACATTAATGTTGAACCATATTTTAGTTCATCTTGTATTGAACACCTAAACTTTATCATTTAAATTATACTCCGTAATAAGTGATAATATTTTTTATCTCAATCGAATATGGCATTGACATTTGTGCATTTGAGTTGTATACACCTATAGTTAAATAGTTGTAAATTACAGTAAAATTTTCAATGACATTAGATTTGTTTATAAAATTCCCAATAAATATTTATAAAATATACTTGTTTCTATTCCGGGTACGAGACAGTATCGGTACAATGCGTACCTTTCAAGTTCAAAACCGGTACGGCGGCCGGTACGGATAACCCTGCCGTGGAGTTAAACCATGAAGTTTATTTTGGGATGGAGGTTGTATTAATGTAACACTATGTTTGGTTCAATGAATTTAAAAAGGAAAGGAATAGAAAATGATAGATATAACAATTTTTCGTGTTTGGTTAGGGAGGAAACGAAAAGAAAAGTGGAAGGAAAAGAAAACCGGAGAAGAAAATGAACTAAAAAGAAGGAAAACACTTTTCTTTCCATTTTGGTGAGGAAATGGAGCAAACTCATTTTCATTTTCTTTTCTTTCAAATTTCATCAACCAAACATAGCGTAAAACTAAAAATGATCATATACATCCTTCTTTTTTTAAAAAATGCAACCATTAGAATTGCATGTTTTCAAATGGACCTACTTTGATCATTAATATATTTAACTATCTAAATCTAATAGTAAAAAATTTTAAAAAAATGATATCTTGAAAAATATATTATACAACACTTTACTTGATATGATCTGTTTTTTTCTTTTTGGAAAGAATATTGTCAAAGTAGCACATTTGAATGGTGGAAATTTTGAACAGTTGCAATTTTCAAAGAACAAAGGACATATAGTCTACTAGCCTGGAATTATAGTGTGCAATGAGTTGTTTTTTATGAAACATTCTTATTTTCACTCTGAGTTATATCTATTTTTACGGATAAATTTCAGGTACAAGCTTAATCATTTTGTATCCGCTGTCCTGCAATATGTACAATCTCAATTATCACATGTTTCGTGGTGCAAGTTCATGCACTCCCTAAAGCACAAGGTACTTATGTTATACTCCATTCGTCCCAAAATAATCATGAATCATCTCACTTCGAAGAGCGTGCAAATCCCATCTCTTTTAAAATTATTTTGTTTACAAATTGGTATAGAAATAAAAAGTACAAATTACATAATTCAAAACTACATAAAAAGATCTATAAAACAATGATCAGAAGTGAAGCTGTCTGCTTTATCCACCAGTGGCGCCCCGTGCCCCTCGTCATGTCCCGCAGCGTAGCACACATACTGTCTTGAAGAGAGGAGCGGGCAAATGACATCACCAGATGGTGCCGTCCTCGTCTTCACGACGGGAGAGGGTGTCGAATTCCACATTCATTTTCCCGGGCTTAAATTACACCTGAAAGTTGTAGCCTAAAGACTTTGTCGTCCACTGTTGCTGAGTTGAGGTGGACAAGCGCTCTTGGTGAAGATATTCAAGATTGTAGTGGTCGGTGTGGTTGGTGCGAATCAAGAATTTCATTCCCGATAAATAGTGGTGGCAGTGTTGAACTGCCTCTTCCAAACCAATTGATTCACGTTCCTACACAGGAAACGAATGATGGTGGGTGGCAGAATTTTTGCTGAAGAATGCAATAGGGTGACCCTCTTCATGGAGAACAACCCAATCCTCAGGCCTGATGCGTCACATTCAACAATGAACATAGAGAAGTTGGGTAATTGTAAGACCAGCACGTAGGAGAGTGCCACTTTCAGAGCAGAGCAATAGCTGTGGTTGCTTTAGGGGTCCAAATAATATCATTTCGCGTAATGATGTGGCTCGGTTAAGTCGAGTAAATGTTTCAACTGCTAGAATCACTGAGCTTAACCGGATTTGATCATGAACATGGAATAGATCATGCATTCATGCCTAGCAGCATTTAGTAACAAGTATCATGATTAGTTGGTCACAATGCTTCACTAGCTCTTCTAGAGATGTTTTAACTAAGAGGGCATCCAGATTTTCTTTAAGAGACTCTTCACGGCCTTGAAATTCACAAATTTTCGGATCCATCTTTTTTTATAAAAAAATTGACCGTAGGGGGAGTGACATTATAGAGGCTTTGAGTGGACGATTTGCAAAAGTTTACTGGACAACTGGAGAAGTTACATGGTAGCATTGGATTTTGTTTAGTTGGTTTTTGAGTGGGAGGTGATGATGGTAGCCGATTGATGAAATGAATCCAAGATTTGCGGCCCTGTTTGGTGAGCATGGGTTCTCATTCCGATGGAATCTGGTTCCTTTATTAATTATTTGGTGTGTGACTGCCCCAAAAATGGATGTCTTGAAAATCCCCACTTAAGCTAAATCAAATCACACGGAATCAGAACAAGTTATTGATCGACTTCTCTTAAGTACTTTCGTTCTCATGATTTTTCCTCTCCCCTTTCCAACATCTCTGCATCTCCCTCTTTCTGTTCTCCATCACCGTCAGGTATGTGGTCTCTCCTTCTCGTTTTCTTTTTCCCCTTTTCACTCTTCATTGAACTCTCCTCTCCTCCTCTCTCCTCTGCCCGTGGACACTGGCTCTTTGCTTTCTGCTGACACTGGTTTTGGCAGGTCGCTGGTTGTTGGTTCTGTGTCTGTGAATTTTGCCCATTCCCTCAATAACAATTTGCAACGCCCCAAAGAACATGGAATACAATTTGATTCCATTTCAGTTTTCTCCAAACACTTTGTTCCAGGTTATGAAATTCATTTAGGTTTTGTTTGGCTTTGGGAACAACATTTTCAATTAGCGCTGGCGTTTTAGATAAAATTTTAACTGTACAGATTAATTTTGAAAACATTAACGCTAAAGGCTACCGTTAGATAGCCTTTTCAAAATGCTAACGCTAAACTCTAATGTTGTTTCCAAACGAGGCCTTCATTCCTTCAAGATTTGAGAACTCATTCCATTCCAAAAATAGTTTGTAAGGCGTCGCCTAGGCAATAAGGCGCTGTCACTGGGACGCCTTGTCTGCTCGCCTCGCCTAGAAAACCATAAGGCGACCAGGCGCTCGCCTAGGCAACGCCTTTCCTCGCCTTACATCGCCTTAATTCGACTTACCTCGCCTTGATGCCTTGGGCCCCTTTAAATTTTTGAAAAAACCCATTTTTTAGTGCAGCCCTTTTTCTTTTAGTGTAGCCTAACAGACTTAAACTTATCTTCTCTCTCTCTCTCTCTCGGTCTTCTCTGTCAAGCTTCCTTAAAATGTATAAGACCTATATATACATACACAAATATATATATATATATATGTGTGTGTGTGTGTCTGTGTGTATATATATGTGTGTGTATATATATATATGTATGTATGTATGTATATGTGTGTGTGTGTATATATATATGTATGTAGGTATGTATGTTGCCTAGTCGTCGCCTAGGCGTGCGCCTAGTCGCCTAGGCGATATGAAGGTACTTTGGCGCCTCGCCTTGCCGCCTTACAAACTATGATTCCAAATTTTCAACACTGCATCGCTCACCAAATAGGGTCTGAGTGATGAAAGATTTTGGCAAGAAAATGCTGAAAAATCAAAGTTCACCCTAGGCATGAAATTTTCCCAGAAATTGTTCTTAAAGTTGGCTGTATTACCATGTGAATAGGGAAGGGTTTTATTATATTGATGATAAACAATGATATTATGAAATGTGATATAAGCTCTTATGGTGTAATAGTTCACAAAAATAACGAAAACAAATTGTAACTATCATGCATGTGTAGTTGATATAACTCAAGATAGGCAGGAAGAAATAAAGAAGGTGAATACAACAACCAGGGTCTGGTAAAGAAGGAGAATCTTTATTAAATTATTTAACTAGATAAAAGATGAAGGAAAATCTTTATCAGAAGATGAGTAAAAATCTTGAACTCATATAACTAACAAAGCCCAAGGAGAATCTCCAATGATAAAATCAAATTGTATTAATCTCTTAGATAATATTTTTACATATGACAAGAGTCAATATTTATAGGCTACTAACAATGACTCTCTAGATTTTAGGCCCACTAACAATCTCCCCCTAAAATTTATGGTCCACTAACACATGACTTAGGAAATTAACCAACCTGAACATACTTAATAAAATAAATAAAACAGTTGACTTTATGAATAATATTAACAGGCTCCATATTTCCTAAACTGGTGCTCTATGACTATCAGTAGTTTTCAAAGTCTATGCAGTTTATACATTTGGTTACGATGATCTGAATCTACTAGTGCTGCACATAAAAAATTGGTTTAATAATATAAATCTCTAAGTGTTGCAGTTCAGATATTTTGTCAAAATCATTAGAACCTACCAATCAATGTCTGCTAGATTATTTATGAAATTGATACAAGTATAATATCGGGACATCTTAATTAAGTTCTTACCTCTGTCTTTTTTAGGTCAGAGATATGATGGACTTTGAATTAGTACACATGGCATATCTCCATGATTCACAACATATGTAAGCTCACCTTACTTGTGCGTCCATTTCATTGATTTTCATCCAGTCTATAAAGAATGAAGGCTGCAAGGAGAAATGTGAAATTATGTATGAACAATTAATACATGACATGAGGGCAATTGGTAAGTCCTCGTAGTAAAGATAGAGATGTTAGTAAACCTGAAATGCAAGAGCTTCTTGGCCTAGAGAAAGTGATGAGATCAGTTATAGCTAGATTATATTCTAAACTTGCGTTTCTTTTGTTATACATCAACCTTGGATTGTACCCGTTATTTTTGTCAACTAAAAGCTTCTATAACTGAAACATTCAAGTATATCAACCACTTTTTAGAATTAAATTTATATGAATGTATTATTATGTGAATTTGATTGACTTTCAAAGTATGCTGCAGATGTTTCTTAACTGAAGAAACCCAATCAATAGGTCATATCATCCAACACATATTGCAGTCTGCAGTAGAATTTCGATCTTCTATGGTCGGTTATATTTTCAAATCTGGACTAAATGAAAAAGGAGTTTTGGATGGTCTTCCTCAGATAGACATGTCCCAGGTATGACATCACCATACATGTTATGGATGTGTTCTGGTGAGAAATTAGAATCTGTAATATCATGGTCATCGAATATCTTGATTTTTAAAGATGGCTTAACTGTATATACTGTGCTCAACTGTTAAACTTTAGTTCATGGTATTGAGCCTTCAGTATTACTTCTCTTAAAACAGATCAAGGTTAACACCTCTACCCTAAGTCTGACATGGTGTATGAGTAATGTGCACTCCACGATTCTTCTCTCTCGCTGATAAGCAGATCAAGCGACTTTTGGAACCTAACTGTTTTTATAGTGTAGCTGTTCTGAGCATCCTGAAATATAAAATGGAGTAGATGCTCTCTCCAAATTTATGACATTTTTTTCCATTCAACATTTCCATCATCTCCGATGGAACAAAAAATTCACTATTTTTTGGCTCTGGGGTGTGATGAAATAAAGCAAAGTAGATCTCTAAACTGTGTGCGCTTCTTTAATCAATGAAGTAGCAGTTAGTCAAACAATGCAACTTTCGACGCTTAGCCGGGGGGCTCTTTGGAAACAGCATCTCTACTTTCAATTAGGGGCAACGTCTGCGTACATTCAACTTTCAAATTTTTTTAGGAAGTATATCATCACCCTGCATGAGTGTTAGTGTTAACTATGGCACTGTCATATCCTTTGGAATAAATATGATGCATTAACTACTCGTAAAATTTGTTGCCGAGGTTCCAGGTGCTTACCATCAGAAATTCGTTTATGAAGGGCATCAAAGATTTGTATCAAATTTATCTCAAGTCTCCCAAACACGATGAATTTGGCATCTCACGTCTCTGGGATTACATCAATTTCAACGAGTATTACAGTGAAACTATTGACAAAGCAACGGAACTGGGAAGTTTTCGTATCTGATACTGCCAATCTACACAGCTTGGTGGATAATGTAAGTATGTATTGTATTGCTTTTGTTTCTCCATTGGGGGGTCTGTCTTGTCTTTCATTCGTGAGCTTCAATATGCATGGAAAAGGGTCATGATCATCTGCATTTTACTTAATGTGAAGAGCTGTGAGATTCAAAGGTGCAAAGGTTTTGTTTGTTGTTTTAACGTTTGATGAAGCATTGGTCTCAATTGATTGAAAGTCAAGCTATTGCCAAATGTACACAGAAAGTGTTATTCCAAGACTGGTATTATTGGAATGGGTTTCTTCCTACTTTTCCCTCCCTCATTCCTTTTTTTTAGCATGTGTTTCTTCTCCATGTGTATAACGTATAGGGTTCAGGCTTATACGATTTGTCTTATCCCCGGTCTCCCATAACAGAAGAGAGGGGGAGGGCTAGCTAGCTTGCCTATTGACCAGAGCACCATTGCTTGTTTGCCTTCACTTCACTTTCGAAAAGTATTAACAAAGTCTAGTGTTAAAGGAAAGACGGGAAACCGCAGGGCAGGAAACCATTCGAAAACCTATAAGCTTTGAGTGAGTTAGCAGTCAATCTTGCTTTCGATTCGACAATAGGAACAGAAGAAAAGAGACTCTAAATAAAGAACTCAAAGAAGGAAGCGGATGAACCCAAACAATGAAAGAAGTCAATCTTGCTTTCTTCTCTTATTTTTGGCAGCTCCAACCGATAAGCTACATTCCCTACACGTTTGAAAACCTCTTACACTATGTTTGGTTCAAGGAATTCAAATGAGAAAAGAAAAGAAAATAAAGTGGAAAATAAGTTTTCTTGTTTGGTAAGAAAGGAAAAGTGGAAGGAAAAGAGAATGAGAAAGCAAAATGTAACAAGTGGAGGGAAAAACCAAATTCCTCCCATTTTGGTGAGCTAAAGGAGAGAAAACCATTTTCTTTTCTTTTTTCTTCAAAATTTCTTGAACCAAACATAGTGTTAGGCTGGCTCGGAAATATGAAAAAGTGAAATTTGTCCTGAGCAAAATTGATGTTTTGGGCCTCATTTTATTTTTTCAGGTACTTACATTTTAAAATTAGTGCTGAATTTAAAAATATGAGGCCCTAAAAATTTAAAGACCTTGTGTGGTTGACCATTTTGCACACACTTCGGGCCGCGCATGCCTCCTACTCAAAACCGAGAATTCTTGTTCCTAAAATTGGTAGTTGCTCGTTTAGGGGGTCAAATAACCTTACAGTACGGAGTATAAGTTATTTTTGGCCTATATGTCATTGATGAATTACTTTCTTAGTTTTCCCGTTTTGACTAAGAGTGTGTTTTCTTCACCTTATTCTTATTATTTACTCTCTCCCTCCCTGACTATTTGTTCATTTTTTACTCTTTTTTGTCAAAATTGGTAAAATTTGATTCCAAATTAAATGAAAATGATATTGTATTAGATATTGATAAAAAATAGTATTATTAAAATATTATTTTATCTAATTAATATACAATATATATTTTATTTAATTATAAGTCAAAGATGAAAATGGTTGACTAGAAAAAGTCAAAACTAAACAAATACTCTGACAGCTGATACTAATTTTTATTGGAATCAATTCGGATCAGATTGTTCAGATCAGACCAGATCAGATCAGCAATAACTTTAAATTTAACTACATTCAGATCAACCTAGATCAGATAACAATTTATTCCAGTTAGATTAAAACTAATCCGATCTAATTAACTTTTTTAAAATATTGAAGTCAAACTCTGAACAAATGCAAGTGGAACTGCTTGCCATTAGTAAATTGTAAAGAAAACGTCACCGGTACTCTTATACGAAGTATACAATAATTTTATGCTTCTTATTTGAGCATTCTGATCATTTTTTTACTAACATGTTTTCATTGATCATTTGATAAAATAAATATTTTTAACACATTTTATTTTATAAAAGTTTTGATGTAATTTTAAAATAAGTAATTTGTATGTTTATTTCTACATAAATTTATTATATTATTTTAAAAAAGGTGATGGTAAAGAAAGTTGATAAGTGTATATATCTATTCCGAGCTAAGCCAACTTGGACTGACTGCATTGCATTACATGTGAGGTGTATGGTATGGGGGCGCGCCCATAACATATCTTTAGGCTGCAGCAGTCAATGCTCTGACCCACGTTTCCATTTCTTCAAGTTATTTCTTTTAGCCATTCTATCTTCTTTTTTATTCGTGGATTGACTCCAGTGAAATGACACCTTATGATAAGATGACATGTTTCAATCAGATGATACAACACACACAATACTGCCAATAGAAAGCTCACCAACTACTAATGCAAAACTCACATACTGCCAATGGAAAGCTCACCAAGGAACAATACAAAACTCACCACTTTTTTTAAATAAAAAAAAGTAAAAAAATAGCACTACCAATAAACCACCATTCAACCACTGCTCAACCACCGGTCCACATCGACAATGGGGGTCATCGGTGGTGGCCATTGGTCATGGGCGGTCAAAGTATAAAGCTCACCAACTGTCAATGCAAAACTCACCAACTGACAATGGAAAGCTCACCAAGGAACAATGCAAAGCTAACCACTTTTTTTTAAAAAAAAGCTAATAAAATTGCAGCACCAGTCAACCACCGGTCCACGGCGGTAATCTGCACCAGTTGGAAGTCAGCACCACCACCCTTTATTTTTTTTCGAAGTCATTTTAAACTTTAAAGTGTGGTGAGCTTTGTGCACATATTCAGTGAGCTTTGCAATGAGAGTCAGTGAGCTTTGTTGCTGGGCTTTGTGAGAATTTAACCATCAAATTTTGAAAAAAAAGTAAAGTGTTGGAAAATCATGGTGAGCTTTGCAGTGGACAGTGGTGAGTTTTGCAGTAATCAGTGGTGAGCTCCAGCGTCATCTGACTGAAACATGTCATCTTACCACAAGGTGTCATCTCACCAGACTCAATATATATATATATATATATATATATATATATATATATATATATATATATATATATATATATATATATATATATATATATATATATATATATATATATATATATATATATATATATATGTTAAATATATTCTATATTTAATGTAAATATATTGTTTCCTATTATTGTCTCCTACCTTGTATAGGATTAGGAATATATTGTTTCCTATTATTGACTCCTACCTTGTATAGGATTAGGAACTCTTATGTATATATAGACATGTACTCCCACATATTTGATTAATGAAATTAACCTTTCTACATGGTATCAGAGCCTAAAAATCAAAAACCCTAAACCCCCTCTCTCTCTCTCTCGTTCGGCCTTCTCTCTCTCGCCGTCAGCGCCGACTCCCCACGGCAGCTCTCCTCACCGGCGACACCCTCTCCTCCTCGGCGGTTCTCTTCTTCCCCTCACCATGGCCGAAAACAGCGAGATCACTTCCCAAAATACCTCCTCCAAACCTCCTCACCTTGCTTTCACAACAATCTCAAACGTGAAACTTCACGTCCCCGTTCAACTCAGTCTCTCCCAACCTAATTACAAAAAGTGGAGCCGACTCTTCCTCCTTCTGGTTCGGCGATTCAACCTCAAGGGCTACATCTATGGCTCCGTCGTCCCCCTCTCCGATGACGACGACGAATGGTTCCAACTCGACGCTCTCCTCCAGGGTTGGATCCTCTCCACCATCACCGATGA